ACAGAAGGTGTTATTGCATCTAGGGTTGTGTCTAGACTACAGGGTTTTGTCAACAAAGCAGCTTGCTTTGTCGACAGAACTGAATGTAGTCTAGACGCTCTTTGTCGACAGAAGCTTTGTCGACAGTATCTGTCGACAAAACTTCTGTTGACAAAAGCCTGTAGTCTAGACGTACCCCAATAGTAAAACTCAAGTTTTTAATGTTGGTAGTTTTGTAGTGTGAGGCAGCTGGTCTCATTTCTATTGTGAGTTAAAGATGATTAGTACTTCTTAATAAAAAAATTGTGAAGCCAGTTATGGTAAACCAAGCCAGGCGTGTGCGCCTGAAGATGTGACAGTATTGTGGCTGGGGGCAATGCCCGTTAACAAAGTGCCGGATAACAACATTTTCACTGTATTAGGTTTCCCCAGGCAGGCTCAACCTAGAGGTCCATCTAGCCCAATAGCTTGTGCCTGGCAAGACAGCCTGTAATGTTTGTGTACACCCAGGCTACGTCTAGACTGGCATGATTTTCCGCAAATGCTTTTTCCCTTTGTTGCCCCATCCGTCTTTGCCCACGAAAACTTATGCTCCTACACTTCAGTTAGTCTATAAGGTGCCACAGGATTCCTCGCCACTTTTTCAGATTCAGACTAACACTGCCACAGGTGACAAGAGGTTTCAAACAAACAAAAGGAAGTGTTTCTTCACGCAGCGCACCGTCAACCTGTGGAACTCCTTGCCAGAGGATGTGGTGAAGACCAGGACTTTAGCAGGGTTCAAAAAAGAGTTAGATAGATTCATGGAGGTTAGGTCCGTCAATGGCTATTAGCCAGGAATGGGTAGGAATGCGGTCCCTAGACTCTGTTTGTCAGAGGCTGGAAATGGGTGACAGGGGAGGGATCACTCAATGATTTCCTGTTCTGTTCACTCCCTCTGGGGCACCTGGCATTGGCCACTGTCGGCAGACAGGACATTGGAGTAGTAAATGGAGCTATCAAGCCATGTACTACTCACTGGGCAAGGTGGACCTTTGGTCTGACCCAGTATGGCCGTTCTTATGTTCTTAAGAGTCAGGACGACACTTGGCAGGTGACACTGAGACCCAGATGTGGTGCCTTGACGGGCCCCATGTTTTGAAACTCATCTGCACTGCCTCTGGACAATGGCCCACGTGAACTGGTGGGACAAGGTTCCTAGCATGGAGGTCCTTAAGCCGTGTGGTGTTGTGCGCAGGGAAGTAAGGCTGCTGAACAGTTCTGCTGGATCGGCCATTGGATGAGGAGATGATATGTGGATACCAGCATGGGTGGTGGGTGTAGGTAGGGTTGGGGAAGGCAAGCCCCACTCCCAGCCCTGCCCAAAGTCTCACCCCTTCTACCCAGGCCCCATCCCCATGGGAGCCAAGCCTCTCTTTCCCCCACCCAGCGTGTGGCTCCAGCCTCCGTGGCCCCGGAGCACACGTGGCAAAGCTCTGACCATGCCCCAGGGGTCCCACACTTCTGGCAGACAGCGTTTGCCTCAGAGGCATGCTGGGACCCTTCACACGGCCTCTCTCTTTACTAGAGGCAGGGCTCGCTGCCTACTGAGCCGTCCTGGCTAGTCCACAGTTTGGGGTGAAAACCCCTCTGTAGTCCCCGTCTCCTCTCTCCACTCTGTCATGGCATGGGGGAGTGTTGGGAGGAACCCGGGCCCACCCACTACTCCAGGATCCGGCCCAGGGACCCTAAGGCAGCAACAACAGACAGGATATTCTTCTGCTGCCAATCTGGCAGCTTCTTTCCTGAGCCGCTTCCTCAACTGGTCCCTCCCTGCGCCTTCCCTCTGGCACCTGAGCTAGTCAGTCCCACTCCTCCCTGTCACTCTGCCTTACTCGCCATCCTCAGCTCTCACTCAGAC